ATGTTGGGTATCGCCGCGCACGCCGGAGTGAGAGCAATAATTCTAGGGCCAGTATTTTGGGATATCTCTAAATTGATGACCTGTGGGGGCTTTTAAAGCGTCTTCTATGGACTTTTTAGGGTACTGGGGTTTTTCGCCGTTTTACGGATGCACGCAATTTCTAACCTGGGCATGTTGGGTATCGTTTTACTCGTTGTAACCTCATCTTTTATATTTCATTAAAAAAAATGGGTATTTTGTTGTGTTTTGGGGCATTTAATTAATTTTTTCACGAAATATTGGGGTTTAATAAGGAGTTGCGCTAATATTGCGCAACATAAAAATTTGCAACTACCACCATTATATTGTATAGGGTCTTGGCATTCAGAAAATATATAATGTTGGGGGGTTTTAAGTAATTTTCAGGCCTAAAATGTGGAATATAACATGGGTACAAAAAATAAAAAAAAAGGCCTCAGTCATGAAGGGGTTAAAATCTTCCTAGCCAGCCAGTTAGCTCCCCATGCATGCACAATAAAGACTCAATTCATGTCAACTTTAGGCACATATGCAGCCTTGAAAAGAACAGCGTCCGTGGAAGAAATGGTGGAATGTTGACCATCTGGGAAGGTTCTAAAGTGGGACCAACAGATCACACAGTGGAGATCACCAGATCCCTGCAATTTCTAAATCATATGCTAATATTAATATCAATAGAGGGAGAAGGTAAAAAGCGCACATAGCCTTTTACTAGACATTTGTAATCCAAATCTTCAGTAGGAGTTTTTCATATTTACAATATACACGGACAACACATGAGGAAAGAAAACATGAAATAGGCATATTTACCTTTAGTAAGTAATTATCGAGCACCATTCGTGTCACTCGGACTTTTGCTGTTTTAGCCATTTTTGTGCCAATTACTTTTCCTACAATCCATTTAGCATGGACAGAAGCACGTACTCCAGACATGGCGATAGGACAAGTTGTATCTAAAAAAATAAGGAAAAAAAAACCCACCATGAATGAAAAAATAATTCCTGACAGATAAAATAGGGATTCATTCAGACGGGGCATGCAGGACCTTAAAAGGGCTGATCCCGGGAGGGACAGGTGATGCGTGTAATTGCACAGCCTGTTCTTCCCTGTGGGAGTACGCAGTTGTATGCGGTCATCCGCACACCTGAACTTGCACATCTGCGTGGGTCCGAGTGTGTGTCCACGGATATGCAAGTTTGGGTGTGCGGATGACCGTGTACAGGCACGTCCTCCCACAGGGAAGAACAGGCTGCTGCGTGCAATTACACGCAGCACCTGTTCCTCTTGGGATCGGCCCGTTTATGGTTGTGCACGCCGCATGGATGAATGAAGCCTTAAAGTCAGAGGTATCCAGGAAATATTGCTACTATGTTAGAAAGTCCACTCCAAACAGGCTTGTTTACATTGCGGTTTTGGTGCATTCTGGTGCGTTCTTTTTTTTGTCTCAATGGACTTTCTAGTGCGTTCCAGTGTGTTTACATGCGTTTTGAGCCCAGCTCCAGAGAAATGAAAATGTTTCCCATGCAGAGGGGCTATCCATGCACTGCAAGGGTTAGCTGCTTGTTTCTGCCTAGGGGACAGGAAATCTGCTTTTCCCTGTCCGCTAGGCAAATATGAGGGGGGGGGGTTGGTTTTAGGGCTGCAACAACTAATCGACATAATCGATTATTGAAAAAGTTGTCAACTTTTTCAATAATCGATTAATCGGGTTCCGATTGGTTGGTCCTGTTCACGGCCCCACACACGCTGCGCGCCACACCACCTCCCCACCTCACGCTCGCCGCTGCCAGACCCGCCCGGCCGCATCCACGCTCCACACGCAGCACCTCCTTCCCGCCTCACACTCACCGCCCGCCCACATCCACGATCGGCACAGGGACGCTGGTAGAAGAAGTAAGGAGGAGCAGGTGTGGGGGGATGACAGCCGCCGATAGACAGGCCCGATCTCGGAAACAAATTGCTGGAAGACTGCTCACATAAGCCTGCACTTTCCCACACATGGTGCTCTATAATGTATTGCTGGGATAGTGGGATTTGTAGTCCTCTATAGCTGATGGAACATTGCGCTGTACTGTATATTATACAGAGCAGTATACCATCAGCTATAGAGGAATACAAATCCCAGCAATACATTATACACTGTATGTATAATGTATTGCTGGGATTTGTTGCATTCCTCTATAGCTGGTGGTATTCTGCATTGCGCTGTATAGAGGACTACAAATCCCAGCAATAGTACATTATACAGCGCAATGCAGAATAATGTACTATTGCTGGGATTTGTATTCCTCTATAGCTGGTGGTATTCTGCATTGTGCTGTATAATGTACTATTGCTGGGATTTGTAGTCATCTATAGTCGATGCCATTCTTCATCATTGCTGTATAATTTTACACTTTCCATTTCACTATATTGCACACCACTCTTTTTTTTCTTTTCTTTTTTACCTCCACCGCTCCAAGCTTGCTCCTGTGATGGACTGCAATCTCAATACAAACAACAAACTAGTAGTCGAATCACTGGAGCCATTTTTAAAAATGAATTTTATTTTTTATCCGATTAACCGATTAATCGAACTTAATAATCGGCTAACTAATCGATTTTGAAAATAATCGTTAGCTGCAGCTCTATTTGGTTTGATTTTACCTAGAGTTGGGCTTTAAAGAGGTTTTAACCTCTCAGAACTCTATCCAAAACAAATGAATGTCTTTAAACACACTTTAATGTAGGACTATTGTGTTCAGCACTTTAATAAAAGTACACCTGCACTCACAGCTTAATTTTAGTCCTCCTGCAAAGTCCCAAAAATACATCTTTGATGCTGTCAGTGCAGTCCACCTAATGCAGCTTCCTGTGATGGTGAGGTAATGATGCTGCACTGCTTCTAAATTCAGAGCAGAGTTTCCACCCTCATGTAGGCTGTGCCGGCTTACAGTACATAGAGATGAGAAGATGATGTAGGAAGTGTGCCTATCAACTCTGATTCACAAGCCTGTATATTGTTAATCATTACCTGGCCATACCTAGCACCATCCACTGCTTTCTGCATTTACAGCACTGCCTCTGTTACTGAAACCCTTCAACGGGAGCTGCAATGTCTGGGAGGGGGAGTGCAAGACACAAATATGGGTATTACCTAAGGCCCCTTTCACACAGATGCAGATCTGTGCATATCACCTATCCGTTTAGACTTACATTGGGCATCCAATCAGATATGCCTGAAAAACTGACAGGTGGACCGCCCATCTGAAAGGAGCCTATGGTGGTCTGCATGCTAGGAACCTTCACTCCTCCAGACTGACACCCACCCATCAATGCATTTTGATATTTGCATGCTTCCATCAGGGTTGAGGTCTCTTGAGAGGAGTACTAAGGCAGGGTGCTGTGATGTGTTCAGGAAGCTGTGTATAAAATCCTGCCAGCCATGATCTGTCTTCATTGTATAGATAACCACAGAGATCCAGTGATGATGTTGTCACTGGCTTTACAATTAGGTATGTCATGAAAATATAGGTATCATGTTGATGAATGGGGGATGGAGAAACCAGGCAAATCAAACTATAAGCAGATTGAACTTTAGCATTAAACTGCAGTGTATATATAATGGCAGGAGCTCAGCTGTAAGGGTAATTATTAATGGAGCCCGTGTACTGATATTTACAAAGACCTCTTTATTACCGGACATTAAACTTCCACATATATCCAACCTTACATAAAGTACACAAATAATCTTCCCCAAATGAATAGACCCTTTATGGGCTTTATATACAGTACTAGAAGGTCATCACATGGGGGAGGGACAAGTAGCAGAAATCCACATGTCACTGTAATGGACTCACAGCATAAGGAGGTAGAGAATAAGCTCGATACACACAATGACAGCTGTACACTGACACAACATCCCTAATTTCTCTGTCCACCATGACCCATCCACACTGCACAGCTTACCTGCCTGACAATCCACTCTTCCCGTCCCTCTGACCTCTGTCGCTCGTATGACGTCACACACATCACACTCTGCTAGTACATCGGCAGCCGTGTGTGCTCTCACAGCGCCCCCTGCTGCTCCTTCTGTATATTACATGTCAGTCAGGGCTGCGCACAGTAATACTCATATTTATGTTCAGGATATCATTTATAATTGTTTTAATTAAGAAAGACATAGTAAATAAAATTTAAAAATACCTTCTTTTGAGCCATCATGTCAAAAAAAATCATATGTGGCTTGTAAAATTACCTAAAACCCCGGAAATATTATAGGGTAAATAGAAAAACACAAACAAAAATAGATGTTTTAGACTAAGCCCTCATGGGCAGGGCCCTCCTTACATAACTGTAATGTCTTCCTTATATTGTAAAGCGCTGCACAAACTGTTGTCCCTATATAATAATAATAGATGTTGAATTGCACATACAAAGAATCTTGTATGATACAAAGCTTGTTAAACACATTATAGTGGACAACCTAAGGGTCCTGTGTCAACCGGCTTTGGCCTTGTGTCAATGGATTTGTGTCAATTAGAGATGCACCATTACCGATACTAGTACTCGTACTTGCCCAAATGCTCCGATACGGGATCCCGGCCGATCAGGAAGCCAGGCGGCGGGTAACTGGCCCGGAAGTCGAGCCTGTTTGGCAGGCTCGATGCTGATTGGCTGGAAAACTAGCTTCCCAGCTAATCAGCATCAAGCCAGCCAAACAGCATGGTGCCAGCTTCCCAGCCAATCAAGAAGCCGGGTGGCGGTTAATGACACGCTGCCCGGCTTCCTGATTGGCCAGGAAGCTGTCACCATGCTGTTTGGCTGGCTCAATGCTGAATGGCTGGGAAGCCAGCTTCCTGGTTAATGAGCATTGAGCCTGCCAAACAGCATGGAGCCGGCTTCCCAGGCAATCTGTGACACGCCGCCCAGCTTCCTGATTGGCCAGGAAGCTGCCTCCATGCTAGCTGGAGTACTCGGTATCGGCAAGTACGGAAAGATAAATATCGAAACTTGATACCGAAAAAACGGTATTGGTGCATCTCTAGTGTCAATGGATTCAGTTTTATATTAGTTTGAGACAAGTTCTGAGATCAGATTCAGAATTCATAAACAGGTCTATTTCTCAGGGCTTCGTCAGATGTTGGTAGGGGGCAATTACTCAGTGTTTTTATTTCCTCAACACTTGTGTTGCTGTTAACCCCTTCGGTGCTTAAGTGGAGCGAGTGGTGGTATCATCATGCATACTTAAAACATCAACCTTAATCCTGGGTGAAAGATATTTAACCGTGCATATGGTCCCTAATTGACTACATAATTATGAAGACTCTAGTCTAAAGAACAGTTTGTATACTACATAGTGTGATATAATTAGTAAAATGAATGAAATTATTCGATTATTAGATTCAATATTTCGAATTTCAACATAGGAGTACATTTAAATAATAAGAATTAATGAGGATTAACCCTCTATGATGTTGGTTTCAAGATTTAACAATTTAAATTGTGAACTTTCTATTCCCTGTGATATTGCTGGTAAACATAACAGAACATAGAAGGGCTGGGGGGCTTAAATCTAAGAGAAGACCATAGATTTCCTAAATAAGAATAAACGGGATAAGAGTTAAAGGAAGACTTGTAGATTACATTCATTGTTAAGTCCATATGGAACCATCGTGTTCAACTTGAAAATCCAAATTTTTTCTTTCTGGAGCAAGATCGTATTGAAATCGCCCCTGCGTGCTGGTAATTTTAGTGCATATATTCACTTAACTCTTATCCCTGTAGTTTGTCCTCCATGATATTTCGTAAAGTGTTGAGCTAATGGGCTTTCTTTATCATTATTTCTTAAATCTCTCAGATGTTCACCAATTCTAATTTTTAATTTACGTTTGGCCTTACCAATATATGATTTTTTTACATGGGCAATCTAATTGATAGATCACCCGCATGGTATTGCAAATAATAAAATGAAGAATATCAAATCTGGTAGTACCAGCCGAATCTGTAAATTGTTTGGATTTATGTACAAGTGGACAAATATGACATTTGCCACAAGCGTACATGCCTTTAGGTTTTACTGTCTTGGAAAGCCAGTTTTCCTGCCTGTGTATTAGGAATGAATTCTGAGGAGACCAATTGGTCTCTAAGGTTCCGTGCTCGTCGTGCTTTCAAGAGTGGGTACGGGCCTACTATTTTACTCAGAGTAGGTCATAGCTGTAGGATATGCCAGTGTTTCCTTAATGTTTCTTTAAGTGTGAACCAGCCTGTTCCGTATTGGGTGATCATACGGACCCTTTGATCATTTTCATCTTTTTTTGGACCCATAAGGAGTTCTTCTCTTGGTTTTTTTTTGGCTATTGCTAGACTTTTTTTCAGAACTCGATGGGAGTAGCCCCGTGCCCTAAAGCGATCATACATGGCTTTTGATTCAAGTTTGAAATCTTTGAAAGAAGTACAGTTCCTCTTAAGTCGGAGAAACTGGCCAGTGGGTATGCCCAGCTTTAGGGACGGGGGGTGAAGAATACTTGCGTGAAGGACTGTATTGGCAGCTGTGGGTTTTCTACATGTGTTCGTTACTAATTTGTCGCCATCGATGCGGATTTTTAAGTCTAGAAACGAAATTTCATGGGAACTAATTGTATAGGTGAGATGTATATTCCTATTGTTGTTGTTTAATTCTGAGATGAACTCCAGTAATTGATCCCTTGAACCTGTCCAGATTAATAGGATGTCATCAATTAATCTATACCAAGACTTGACATTTGGTTTAAACATGTGGTGTGGATAGACGCTATCTTGTTCCCACATGCCTAAATGGATGCATGCGTACGCCGGGGCCCAAGGTGCACCCATAGACGTACCTCTAATTTGTTTATAATGGGTGCCCGCAAACTGAAAAAAATTATTATTTAAAGCAAAATCCAAGAGGTCAAAAATGAACTCATTTTGGGCAGCTGCGTGGGGGAAGAGAGATTCCAAATAGTGACTGACAGCCTGTAGTCCACATTCATGTGGTATAGACGTGTAGAGAGATTCTACATCTAGACCCACAAGTAATGAGCCCTCCTCTATGGTTAGGTTGCTAATTTTTTGAATTGTGTCCCCGTGTCTCTTAGGTAGGACGGAAGTTTCAACATGATATCTTTTAGGAGTGTATCCAGATATTTGCCAATGTTTTCAAGGGGGCCCCCCACGGATGATACAATTGGTCTGCCTGGGGGTTTCATTTTGTCCTTATGGACCTTTGGTATTATATAAAATGTAGGGGTGTTAAAATTAACTACTTTAGTGAAATTAAATTCTTTGTTTGTAAGTAGGCCTTCTTGTTTGGCAAAGTTAAGTTTGTAATTTAATTCACTCACTACTTTACTATAGGGAGAGTCTCTGATTTTGATATAAGTCGTTGTATCGTTTAGCAGGCGATTTGCCTCTTCCAGGTAAAAATCTTCAGTGAGAACCAAGTTTCCACCTTTATCACTCATCCTAATAACTAGTTTTGGTATGCTTTTTAACTCTTTTAAAGGGTATCTATAGTCAAGAACTAAAAATAAATGCATATTTCTATATTGAATTTCCATAAATTCTATCCCACTTTTAATAACCATATGAATCTAAAAGTTTGTAAACTTACTTATTGAAGATGATCATAGGATGTACTTCATCAATGCACTGACACCATTTCACTCAGACCTGTGTCACAACTCTCACAGAGCCTGACTTCTGAACTACAACTCAACGTCTGAACAATGTAACATTATCATTGGTTGCTGGAAGCAATGCATGATGGAATATGTAGTCTTGATAAATCAGGATAACATCGTATCAAGCAGCAGGGAAAACGATTCACAGCAAACTGGGAATCCAGGAAGTTGATGAAAGTGATGGGCAGACAGAAGGCATCATTCACTACCTAAAACAGATTTTTTCAAGTAAGATTTGATTGCTTTATCAAATACGACTATTGTATGAATTCATATTACAATGCTGATGTTATAATAGGATAGCATATGCTGTGGCTTTACAACTCCTTTAAGCGGTCAGGTACTGTTAGCAGAGCTGCAGATTCCTCTCCTGGTGCCGGAAACAGAGAACTACAAGCAACAGGCTCCCAGGGCCAAGAGCAAAGATATTGCCAATGAATTACTTAATTTAGAGGGAGCAGTTTTTCCGTTCAAACCTGAATACACATGGACCACTCCCTGTAGAAGTGACTTGTTTTATGCATTTAACCCCTTCGTGACTGACGACGTACAGTGTACGTCGCCAGCATCGGGGCTGTTTAAACAGACTCCCGGCGACTTTTGCCGCCGGGAGTCTGTTTAAACTTGTAGAGCCGACTGTCGGCTTTACAACAGAAGCGATCCTGGCGACTTACCTGTCGCCAGATCGCTTCTGCGTCCAGAAGGGGTTAATATTTCTAGCTACACGGGCAGCCATATTTGCCCATTACCCTGCAATGTGTGCTTCCTGCTTAGTAATGCCACACAATGGATATGTTTACTGATTAGGGTTGCCACCCTTCTCCTCTGGGAAGCGAGCAGTGCTGTATTCACTCTCTCCCTCTCTCTTTTTCTTCTCTGCGAAGTGAGCAGCGGGCGGCGCCATATTCGCTCCCTCTCTCTTTTTCCTCTCTGGGAAGCGAGAGGCGGGCAGCGAGCGCCGGGTGCCGCTGTCTTCACTTCCTCCCTCCCTCTCTCCTGTTAGTAGGAGGATGTGACATCAGAGAGAGAGGGAAGAATCATCCTCTGGCACTCTGCGCGGAGGGGTTTAATCTCTTCTGGGACCTCTGGAACTGTGACCATCCTTCTTCCCTGGACCTCTCTATTTATGAACAGGTATTTATAAAATTTTATCAAAATAAATATCAATTGAAAAGGGTAGGGGGATTTGCACTAGGGATGCACCGATACAGATACTAGTATCGTCATCGGTGCCAATACTCATATTCGCCCAAATGCTCCAATACCTTCCCCGATACTGCAAAGCCGAGGGAGCATGGA